AAGCGCCGCTAGGCTAAACACTGAACGCTGGCTCTGATGACGTTACCTAGTTTGGTAATGAAATGTCTGCAAGAGAACAAGCAAGTGCAGAGGGCCCAAGGACCCCACAGTCCTCCTCCTCCCCCCTTCATTCCTTCTCTTTTTCTTCCTCTTTTTCCTCCTCTTCTTCATTCCTTTTCCTCCTCCTCCTCTCCTTCCTTCTTCCCCCACTTCATTCCTTCTCCTTTTCTTCCTCTTTTTCCTCCTCCTCTCCCTCCTTCGTCCTCCCCTTTTCTTCCTTTTTCCTTCTTCTTCCCCTTCATTCCTTCTCCTTTTCTTCCTCCTCCTCTCCTTCCTTCTTCCTCCCTTTCCTTCTCCTTTTCTTCCTCTTTTTCCTCCTCTTCCTCCCCTTTATTCCTCCTCCTTTTCCTCCTCCTTCTCTCCTTCCTTCTTCCTCCCTTTCATTCCTTCTCCTTTTCTTCCTTCTCCTTTTCTTCCTCCTCCTCTCCTTTCCTTCTTTTTCTTCCTTTTTCCTTCTCTTCTTCATTCCTTTTCCTCCTCCTCCTCTCCTTCCTTCTTCCTCCCCTTCATTCCTTCTCCTTTTCTTCCTCCTCCTCTCCTTCCTTCTTCCCTTTCCTTTTCTTCCTCTTTTTCTTCCTCCTCTCCTTCATTCCTTCTCCTTTTCCTCCTCCTCCTCTCCTTCCTCCTCCTCTTCATTCCTTCTTTTTCTTCCTCTTTTTCCTTCTCTTCTTCATTCCTTTTCCTCCTCCTCCTCTCCTTCCTTCCTTTTCTTCCTCTTTTTCCTCCTCCTCCTCTCCTTCATTCCTTCTCCTTTTCCTCCTCCTCCTTCCTTCTTCCTCCCCTTCATTCCTTCTCCTGCCTTTCTCTCCTCCTCCACTCCACAAACCCCACTCCCTTCTTGCCCTGAGGGTGCTTCCCTAGTTGGGTCACGAAACGTCTGCAGGAAAACCACCAAGCTCCGAGAGCACCAAGCACTCCACAGTTCTCCTCCTCCCCCCCTCCCAAATCCCGCTCCCTTCTGCTGCTGATAGCATGACCTAGTTGGGTCATGAAACATTGTAAGAAAACCACCAAGCTCCGAGAGCACCCAGGACCTCAGAGTTCTCCTCCTCCCCTTCTAGCACTGATGGTGTTCCCTAGTTGGGTCATGAAACGCCTGCGAGAAAACCACCAAGCTGAGAAAAGTCACCCGGGAGCCCACTTTCCCCCTGTATCTGAAACCCGGAGGGGCCCCTTACCGCTTCTTCCAGGCTCTGGACATCGGGGTGGTCGTTGGGCGTGTGCCGGAGGATCTCCTTCAAGAGGAGCGGGTACTTGACCAGGCGGCTGCGAGGAATGTCCAGGAAGCTCCAGAGGTCCAGCTTGCGGCTGAAAGGAGACTCCAGGCAGCGCTGGAGGAAGTCCTGCACCCGGGCGTCCTGCTTCTTCTGGTCCAGGAGGGCTTTGGCCGCCAGCTGGTTGCTGCAGTAGGCCTTGTAGGCGTTCAGCCCAGGGAGCTGGGCAGGAAGAGAAGGCCATGCTGGTTAGGAGAGCAGGCTCGGCTGCAGAAGGGACCCTGGCTCTTTCTCTAACTAGGGCCTGGCAAATTAAGTTGAGCAGGAAGGAGGAAGAGGAGGAGGAGGAAGGAAGGAGGAGGAGGGGAAGGGGAAAGAGGGGAAGAAGGAAGGAGGGGAAGGAGGGAAGAAGGAAAAGGAGGAAGGAGGAGGGGAAGGGGAAAGAGGGGAAGAAGGAAGGAGGGGAAGGAGGGAAGAAGGAAAAGGAGGAAGGAGGGGGGGAAGGGGAAAGAGGGGAAGAAGGAAGGAGGGGAAGGAGGGAAGAAGGAAAAGGAGGAAGGAGGAGGGGGAGAGGAAAGAGGGGAAGAAGGAAGGAGGGGAAGGAGGGAAGAAGGAAAAGGAGGAAGGAGGAGGGGGAGGGGAAAGAGGGGAAGAAGGAAGGAGGGGAAGGAGGGAAGAAGGAAAAGGAGGAAGGAGG